TGGCTAATTAGGTTAAAATCCTGCTGTTAATCCACCATTAACTATCCGCCACCACTGTGAACCTCCATTATCTCACGCCCCACATAGTAATTGCCGCACCATAAAGTAATAATTCGTGGATTGCTTTCAGGAAACTCTATGCTTACAGGATCTCTATCTATATGACAGTATGCTACCCATGCGGCCTTGGCTTTTTGTAGCATTATCAAAAGACACTTCAGCATATTATTTGTTGCACATCGTACAGCAGTTTGTCACAAGTCTAAATGACATATCGTGGGATTTTCGTACTGCTTTGTGCCAGGACTGTTCTTTGCGGACTGCTCTCGGCTTGTGTTTCTCTTTCTCTTTTCTCTCAAGGCAAGAACTACTTCTTAATCCAAGATGGGACTGTGGGACTCCCTTTACAGCTGAGATGGAACGAGATGAGACAAACTGACTTACCTGGATGATAGTTCTAAATCAATACGAATCAACTGCACTGACCGGTGTGGATAGCTGAGCAATAACTCTTAACACTCCGGAAAATATAAAAGCAGAAAACTCGAACCCTAGATACTTTGTACGTGTTACTCACCCGCACCCTTACTCATCGGCGTCTTCTTGAGAAAGGGTGCAACACATGGTAGCTAAATGGCTCAGCTGGTAAATCCTGCATTATGTCACAAGACGGGTTAATCCTTGTAAAGCCTTTTAAACTGCACAATGAAGGTATCTGTGTAAAACTATCCCACTATGATCTAGGCATACGATACACTGCAAACATTAATTTCGCAGAGCGAACTGAGTCAAATAGCAGGTGCCCAACGATCTGTGGTCAACATATGCCATAAACTCCATGCAACCCTAGCCAGACCCGAGCTGGTCAAAATACATACAATTCCCGTCGTTGAATACTGCAGCATCATCTATGGGAACATGCGAATAGGGGCCAGGAAAGCTTCCGAAACCATTCAGAGATCATTCACTAAGCGCTTGTGCAGTAAATCAACCACCTTGATTTATCAGAAGTGTCGCCGGAAGCTTAATCTCGAGTTCCTTTGGTTGCTACAACTGAAACATAACCTGATGCTTATGCACCATCTCATAAACCAACCAACATACTCCAATCTGTGTATACTAAAACTTCAACAACTTCACTTGGAATATACGTAACAAGACTTGTACATTAGTTGTGCCGAGAACCAGGATAGCTATCCAATCCAACTTCTTCCTCGTCAGATACGCTGTCGTGTGGAAGAGCCTAGCAGCCACAATCAGGTGTTGCACAAATGCAAGGGCATTCCACATTCAGCTTAGCAAATTCCTTGACCAGAACTCGATAACGACCATGTTTCCATCGCGTAAATCAGCACACCAGTTCTTTCAGGATGGTCCGTGGAATACATGAGCCATGATTAAAGTTGGTACAATGAACTCAACAACAACAAAAGTTACGTGCTTCCAAATAATTTTGATATCATACAGTCCATATTGCATATTTCCTTCATGCATGATCACGATAATCATTGTACCCATGAGCTGTCCGCAATCCATGGACAGCTTCTTGTACAATCTGGAAATATACTTACTATTAGTATTATTATAATCCAATGGCCACAACGAAGATGGCGTGCCCCGATAAAGCTAGTTGTTTAGCCAACTGAGGAAATTGGGAGGCACTTGACGACGACTAACCGGGTGAACCATCGGTCGATAGGATGCTTTGCCAGTTTATCTTACGGTTCAAACGGATCGATGGCATTGTCCCGGGACGTGTGGAGTTTTCGCCTGACAAGGATTCTCACTATAACAAAGCCAAAACGGTCAGTTTAACCACACTTCGACTTAGCGGATGTGGCTCACTAGTGAATAACGTCCATGCCCACAACTATACACTGGGAAGTTGACTAGAGTTATATTTCACTATTTTCTCAAGGTTTATAAAAGCGATGCTCGCGTACTACACAT